AACTCATTTCCTATACCAAGACACCTTTCTAGTGTCACAATGAGCTTAGTAAATGGGGAATTGGGACATAGTCACAATAGCTACTATCTGTGGAAGGTCTGTTCTGAACCTGAAAATTTCAATGACCCTTAAAATATTACTCAATGTTCCACATAAACTCAATAAGAAGGTGGCATTTCTCAAAGTTTCATTTTCTGTCATGAGGAAAGAACTCAGGAGGCCTATGTAAATTTGTTTATGCAAAAGCTGAGCTACCAAATGCAACGTGTGACCTCCTAAAGTCAGACATTGGGTGCATGGTATAATTTTTGGTGGAGAAAGTCTCAAAATATTATACCTGACTCTAACACTGGACCACACCCTTAATCCTCAAAGAGTGGTCCCAAGACCAGGTCTGGCGGCATCAACTTCAGTAGGAAAATGGTTACAAATACAGAGTGTCTGGACCCCTCCTGGATGTCTCAAATGGGAATCTACATTTGAATAATATCCTCAAGTGAAACATACACACGTTGAAGTTGAAGGTTCTGGACTAGAATAAGTTCTCAACTTCCCAGTGTTAACATTGCTGTTGTAACTGTTCATGGTTTGGGCTGTCCTGTGCATTGTAAGATATTGAACAGCATCCCTCGCTTCAGTTCACTAGGTACAGTAGCCCCTCCCCAGTGGTGGCAACCAAACATCTCACCAGACATTGCCAAATGCCTTTGGGAGGCACAGTCTCCCATACTGAGAACCAATGACTTAGAGAAATAGACACATCTAGATGGTGTGCTAACCAAAGCTCGTCCTTTCCTCGGCTCAGAACTGCCAGCAGATCTCTTAACATTTCAGAGCCTCAATCCTACAAATATATGATGATATTCCTAATAATGTGATCTCACTGAAATGAAATGTCTAAAAATGGGACACATTAAATGTGACATTAAGAGATAAACAATATAAGTTTCTAACTCACTCCATGGTACCTAAAAAACACCTAAATATATCTCTTAAAATTACCAAATCTTTCTTAAATGAAGGACAAAAATGACAACTTTTTACTTGTATTCACCAGCATAAAATTCTTAATTGCTTTGTCAAATCATCGTGAAGCCAATGACTGCAGTACCCACCCGTGGTTTTATAGTAAATTAACACTGTTTTTCCCTTGTCGCAGAGGGAATAGCAATTTTATGGAGATGTCAATAGCTGTTTCCCCACCACAAGTCAATGCTTTGAAGATCCAAGGGTCCTGGTAAAGACAGTTTCCTCAGTCTTAGACTTTAGAGGAAATTTTAACTAAACATTGGGCAGAGATGTTAAGAAGGTTGAACTTTTGGAAGGCAACAGAGTTCACGGGAAAAAAGTAATGAAAACTGCGTTCACCTTACTTTTAACGTGGGTTTTGGGAACAGAGAATCAGCAAAATAAAATATTTTTTCTTTCTAACCCAGTGACCTACTTAAAACTCAGGTGATCAAGGGTTAAAGTAATAAGGGGATGATGTCCCTGGTTAGCAGAGATAGGGAGTTGTAAATACTGTATTTCATCTGCTATTGTTCTTAAAAGCATACAGCCTTGGACCGGATGGGATGTGGTTGATTTGTTTTAAGTCCTAACTCTGGTTAAGTAACTGATACTTCACTACTTCCTGCTCTCTTGCCTGGGGACAGAGCTTTAATCTCCATGATCAACCACCAGGGAAGAATTCAGACTTCCATATGGAGACCTTCCTTCAGAGACCCCATACAGGTGACTCAGAGAGCTAAGTAGGTTCTGCAGGAAATATTCAGAGAGAATGGAAACCAAGGACATTTACTTGATGTCACTTGAGAACAAAACAGTCAAGCTGAGAGACTGATGTGTTTGTAGCGTGGTTGACTAATGAATTAATTTAATGTGTTTTTAAAAATGTGTCTGTTACGTAGTTCTCCCTGTATAAGTCTCTCACATCTTTCGTTAAATATATTCCTAGATATTTAATTTTCTTTGAGGCTATTGTAAACGGAATTGTGTTTTTGATTTGATCTTCGGCTTGACTGTTGTTGGCATATATGAATGCCACAGATTTGTGTGTATTGATTTTGTATCCTGAGACTTTGCT